ATTTACATTATTTACTTAATTACGAGGGTTCTTCGCCTCCTTGTATAGATTTTGACTTTTCTTTTAACCACTTTGGATTTTCCTTAGTCGCCAAATAGGCTACTAGGACCTCACCATCATTGACGAGTCCTACAAGGACGAAACAGATGAACGATGCAGTTAGATTCATTGTTTGACCCTGCTGTGTCTAATTCTAAATTTATATATTAAAAATTGTATGTCTTATATATATTATCTGATATTTTTACATCTTTACATCATAGATATAATCAAAGTACTGAAAGTACTGGTATGCTAAGACCATTAAAAAATAAATTCTTTGTTATTAGCTTGCTATATACTGAAACCAACTATATGCAATCAGTAAATCATTGCAGCCCATAAAAAATGACCAGCAGATATCAGAAATAACAAGCATAGTAGTATTACTTATGTAATACATGTCCCAAGTAGGCTCCAAGATGCAATGATAGGGAAGTTGTCCATTTCTTTGGATACATTGTAGGGAATGTTGATCATGGACACCATATTATCACTTTAAAGACTGTGTATCCTATTGGTTTAAGACCATTAGTTAGACCATCATGCAAATAACATGCTACATACAAATATTGGACAGCTTCATTTTCCAGATTGTTTGTAAATGACTGCATAAGAGTGCCAATTTTCTAAAACAAACATGACTTGTCACCATAACTTAAAATAGAAGATGCCTATTCTTCCAGAAAACCTGGTCTTATTCTCCTTGTACTTTTTCTGGGAATCTTCAAGTAGATATTGACTTTGTTCCAATTTTTCATGTTTATATATTCTTTGTTCTCTAAAACTTGTCACAAGATATTTTATTCCTCTTGTATTATCATTTTTTTTAACATCCTTACAGTGACCTTGAACCTTGAAATTTACAAGATGTGAATATCTTTTAGGTTGTGAAATTTGATAGAAAAACGAGGGTAATACAATGGAAAAACACCCCCATGCAACTATCCGTTTTTTGACTGTGACCTTGATCTTTGATATCTGACCCTGAATTTCTAAAGAAACCGACTTCTCCTCACAAGGGATACATGTTCCAAATTTGATTAAGGTATACTAACTGTCTTGGTCTCAATGCGTTTACAAGGTAATCATATAGTACTTATGCAAGTACTGTGACCTCTACATTCAATCCTCAAAATCATTACTATATCCTCTCCACATTGCCCAGGGATAACTGAAACTGTAATCCAAATGATAACTAATACCCCCATCACCCACAGCCTTAGTTATCTCCCCATGGTGACCTTTTGCAAAAAAACATCCTCTGAAACACAGCGGCATGTGCACATGTTCCCTAATATTCCTGCGAAGTTTTGTTGAAATTGGTCCACAGGTTTAGAAGTTGACCGACATGCAAAACCTGTCTATATTGACCAGATGCCATGGCAATCAATATTTCCAGGGGAAAATGGTGCATGCACATCTACACATTGTCCCGAATATTACTGTAGTTTCATTGGAGTTGTCTAGACAAGATGTGTCTACAGACAGACAAACAGATGGATGGACAGATAGACAACTTGATTCGATTTACCCACCCTTTTGGTGGTATAAGAATGCACAAGAGTGCTTACAAATTCCATGTGGACAGACATCATGGAAAAATAATAATGATAATAATAAAAATAAAAACATGATAAAGATGCTTATATCTTGTTTTCTTTATTCAGTATACTTTCCATGCTTTGATCAGCAATGTAATCGTGTCATGTCAATATCCTAGTACAAGATTGCATACACAAAATTGTTGTAGGTAGACTTTTAAGATAAATAAAAAAAAATACATGTCTAAGTTTAAATGAAGGTTTTAAACAGAAGTTGTATTATGTTCAGTATACAGTGATTTTTCTAGACAATTGTAAACTATAAACTCGGTATACAGCGATCTTTTCTACACATTTGTAAACAACAAACTCAGTATGCGGTGATTTTTTCTACAAAAAGTTTTTTTATATATTGTATATACATAACTCAGAAAAAAAAAATAAGTAAACCTTTCTATGTACACTACAAACTCAGTATACAGTGAGCCTTTCTACATAAACTTGGTATAACTAGTGAATCTTTCTACTTAAGTAAATTGAAGATTGTAAAGAAATTTACTACAAATGCAGCATACAATGATCTTTTCCACATTTTTTTAGTTTCTGCCATTTGTTGATTCTTCTTTTGTGATGGTAATTATATTGCCGCCTTTAGAGAGTACTGTGACCTTAAAAGGCAACATGGTTGTTAGCATATCCTCAAGTGATTAACCATCTTCAACATCTAATTGGAGGTCGGAAAGAAGGACGTTTTTCTCCACCATAAGGTCCTCAAATCCATTGTTGGTCACAATGGCCAATTCCAAGTTAGAATAATCAAGAGATACCTTCTACCATTCCAGATTTCATTTCTTCAGGGACATCCACCTGCTGAAAGAGAGTAAAGCAAATAAATAACTATATTTCTTTATTGCTATGATTATGTACAAGAAATATACACTTCTGTATAAGCTTATAGTCTTGAACTTCCCAATAGGAGTCTATATTAAATATAATTAATTGTTTTGTCATTCAGGACTGTCAAATTATGAAGTGATGGACAGCTAGAAAATAAGAATATCTTGACCATGGTCATACAGAGATTGAATCATAAAGTTAAATTCATGAGATAAATCTGTGCAGTATGATAATTTATTTTGACGTTTGTATTTCAAAAATCATTATGACTTGAAAGGTAATGTGTAATTTAATTAATTACATTGGACCGTCATGCAATGGCAATGCCATTTTCATAATGTAATTGTAATTTCATTAATTACATCATCATGTAATTGAACCCATGCCTGTTACAAACAGTAGCTGTCCTAAATGATCCTAAAATTAAATTTGGCTATGTCTATCACAAAATTAATGTTGGCTGTCTATTACAAATGCCATATTTAGCTACAGTAGAGGTATTTCAAAAATGTATGTCATTGTAACTGAAAGGACACAATTAATGGTTACTTAACCAGAACTACAGTTCTGAACAAACCACTACAAAGCCTGGTTAACTGTACTAAGAAAATGTCTTCTCAATTAATCAATTTCATTGATTATTGACATCTTATTGTTGTACTTACAGTCACTTGAGTTTCTTAAAAGTTGCAATTTGACTTTTAATAAGGCCCAAAATGATAATACTGCAATGTCTTAATTAGCTCTCGAGGGGTATTGGTTAGACTATTTATCTCATTTCATTCCATTCACCATGAAAACAAAACTCTAAAAAACAGTCGACAATTAATGACAAATATTGAGCCTAGGGCTGGGTAAAATTGATGAATCAAAAGTGTTGAACTGAAAGTGGACGCAGTTGACATAATACTGAAATTTCTGAGATGAACAAATACAGTACATATATCAAAAAGTTCAATTGTACCAATAATACTTTACACATTCACACTGGGACTTTACACATTCACACTGGAACTTTACACATTCACACTGGGACCTAACACTTTGCTAGGTTTATCCTAATCTTTATTAAAATACTTTCCGGGAATCAGATGTTAATTGACATCTTCATTATTCCCAGTAATCGTTCACATGCATCACTCTTCAACAGAATCAACGAGACATCATGTCAGAAAGACAAAAACTAAAATTAAGCTAAAACTATATATATTAACTTCACATGTAAACCTTAAAATTAGCATAGCTGTAGAGTTCCCGTACGATTTCATACTCTGGCCTTTGGCCGTTGGGGTACTTATAAATTATCTCCGATCAGAAATTTGAAAGAGCTAGACCTACAATAGCGCGGACAGTGACCGATATTTTAAAGTAAAATCGATATATTACCCAGACAGATTCCTAGATCTATTCACGGTAGCGCAAGTAGTACAGTACAATATTACGGATAAGTTTTTTTTCTGGTTGATTTCCGATCTGTTGGGCCACTGACAGAAGTGACTGCGATGAGACCATTATGAAACGATCATTCCAAAATAAATCCATTTCAAAATACTGAAATACTTTACGGAAGCAACAAAAATGTGCTAGATGCTTACATAACATTTTTCAAATGCATACTGCTTCAAGGGAAAAGTCTTGAAAATATTTTGAAAAAAAAGTGTTATGGCGGCAGTGCCCAGCTTGCGCGTCGCCGTCAAGCATAAATTCAATAGACGCGAAGGCTCATTCCAAATGAATTGTTGCAAAAAATGCAATTGATAGTTCAGTATAAGTATTGACTTCAAATTCAGCTAACATATATATATATAGTGATACCTACCTACATGAATTACCCGCCATCTTCTTTCAGCCGCCGTCTTCTTTCAGGGTCCAGCAGCACAGAGCACCCCGGCTGTTTCCGTCAAAATTTTATGCTACTCTAAATCATTCTTATTTTAGTTATTTTTATTTTCAACTACATATATCAGTATTTTTAATAGTTATCAACAGTATTAAACGGGAAGTAAATTTTCGAAAAAAGAAAAATAGAAAGATATACAAATGTATATGACTCCCACAATGCATCGCGCGGAAAAGACAGTTAAGCCGCCATATTGGCATCGCCTCGCAAAATTTACCACCATAAACGTGAGTCTTTGTCATTGTATTTACAAATTTCTGTAACGATTGTAACGATATATAACGATATATATATGTGTATAAATAATGACCGCTCCCCAGTCAGCCTAAGGTAAATAATGAGCTACTCCCTGTTACCGCTAGGTGGCGTTGTTGTGTACAAGATGGCGATAACCAATATAGAGTGGACGACACAGTGAAGCTTTCTTCTTTATTTACTAACGTTAGATAACGTTACATGGTGTCAGAAGACGGGGACATGAACTGTAAGTGATTGATGTCGATGATGAAACACCGCACGGTGTAGAAATATTGTGTAATACCCCACAGTAAATGTCAATTGACCGAACGGTTACCAAGCACGTGGTGAAGACTACCGCCAAAATCAAGCTTATGTAAACAATGGAACCCCCGGCCCCACAACCTGTCATAAACTTACCAGCGTTCAACATACCATTCCCACCCAAATTAGATCTAAAATCTAATCTTACACAATCGTGGAAGCGTTTCAAACGGGTGTGGGACAACTATGAAATAGCTACGGGTTTATCAACAAAGGATAAAAGCTTACGTACAGCAACATTTCTCACGTGTATAGGCGCTGATGCGCTGGAGATTTTTGAGGGTTTTGAGTTCGAAACCGAAGACCAAGCTAAAGACATTAACCTAGTAATACAGAAATTTGACACATTTTGTGTAGAAAAAACAAACGAAACGTATGAAAGATACTGCTTTAACAAGAGAGACCAGGAACAAAGTGAAAACATTGACACATATGTCTCCATTTTAAGAACACTAGCAAAAACCTGCAATTACGGTGCGTTAGAGGACGATCTAATTCGCGACAGGAAGGTGATAGGCATACGTGATAACAACACTAGAAAAAAGCTGTTGCAAGATGCCAAGCTGAAACTAAATACATGCATTGACGTATGTAGAGCAAGCGAGAAAACATCCAAACAACTTCGAGAAATTACTCAGGAAGAAGTCCATGTGGTACGTAAACATCAAACAAAGGGACAAAGACAGAATGAAAAGTCGTTTAGTAAGTCGAAGTCGAAAATTGAATGCAAATTTTGTGGTCGTATACATGCTCACAAAAAGGAAGCTTGTCCAGCTTGGGGTCAGACCTGTCACAAGTGTGGAAGAGACAACCATTTTGAGATAAAATGTCAAGGTCGTGCACAACAGAAACCCGTACACAAACAGAAGTTAACAAAGAAGGTCCACTATGTAGATGAAGATGACTACGACGATGAGTTTGTGTTAACTATTAGACATGTGAATGCTATTAACGACTACAGCAAACGAACACAGGCAAAGATGTTTATTCAAGACCAAGATGTTTTGTTTCAAGTAGACTGTGGGTCAACAGTGAACATTTTGCCAGAGAAAATGTATATGAAAATCTTCAGAGATAATGAGCTGAGAGATCTTGAGGATACCACAATACGACTTGTTATGTTTAACAAAACGGAAACGAAGCCCTTAGGAAAACGGCGCGTGAGGGTCGTGAACCCAGCAACTGGAAAAAGAAACAGCGTCGAGTTTGTAATTGTCAGAGGAAATGTCCAGGCAATACTAGGAGCACAAGCGTCTCAGCAAATGGGACTGATCACAGTAAACAAGAATGTTTGTATTCAAACCGAAGGACTCGAGCGTGTCCAAGCTGTAAAAACAGATGACCAGGATTTGACCTTGAAATACAATTCTGTTTTTGAAGGATTGGGAAAACTTCCTGGAAAGCTACAGTTAGAGGTAGACAGGACAGTACAACCAGTACAGATACCAACGAGAAAAGTTCCAGTAGCAGTTAGAGAGAAACTGAAAGATGAACTTGACAGACTGAGCAAACTGGAGATAATCACACCTGTGAAAACCCCTACTGAATGGATTTCATCGATGGTAGTAGTGACTAAACCATCAGGAAAGGTCAGGTTATGTATTGACCCGAAGCCGCTCAACAAAGCGCTGAAGCGTAACCACTACCCAACCCCAACTATTGATGCTATTCTGCCAGAATTACACAAAGCGAGGATTTTTACTGTCGCAGATGCAAAGGATGGATTTTGGCAGGTGGAGTTGGATGAGGAGAGCAGCTATTTAACAACATTCGGTACGCCTTGGGGAAGATATAGGTGGAGACGGATGCCATTTGGTATAAGTCCAGCACCGGAGGAGTTCCAACGTAGAGTGGACAAGGCGCTAGAAGGACTAGAGGGTACCATGGCTATACACGATGACATTCTTGTATATGGGTGTGGTGAGACAGATGAAGAAGCTCTCATAGATCATGACAAGAAATTACAGGCTCTGTTTGATAGATGTCAGAAAAAGAATCTGAAAATCAACAAGGAAAAACTGAAACTGAGGTTAAAGTCTGTTACATACCTGGGACATGTAATATCAGCAGAAGGACTGAAAGTGGACCCAGCAAAGATCAAAGCTATTGTAGACATGCCAACACCTACAGACAAGGCAGCTATTCAAAGACTGCTGGGCATGGTCAACTATGTGCAGAAGTTTGCACCCAACATATCACAGGTAACTACAATACTGCGTAACCTGCTGAAGAATGAGAATGAGTTTTGTTGGGAAGACAGCATTCATGGAGAATGTTTTGAGAAAATCAAGACTATGTTGTCCGACACTCCTGTGTTGAGGTATTTTGATCCAGGAAAACCTATCACTCTCCAATGTGATGCATCAGAGGCTGGATTAGGCGCATGTCTGATGCAGGATGATCACCCCGTCGCGTACGCGTCGCGAGCTTTGACCACAACAGAAAGAAACTATGCGCAAATAGAAAAAGAACTTTTAGCGGTAGTGTTTGGTCTGGAGAGATTTGAAACCTATGTATATGGCAAGAAAGTCCTGGTAGAGTCGGACCACAAACCTTTGGAGATAATATGCAAGAAAAGTCTGGCGAGCGCGCCAAAGAGACTTCAAAGGATGCTTCTACGCTTACAGAGATTTGAATATGAGGTAGTATACAAGCATGGGTTGGAGATGTATATGGCAGACACACTAAGCAGAGCATATCTACCATATCAGTCTGAAGAAAAGCAGAACAATGAACATGTGTTCACCCTTGACGAGGAAGAGATAAACATGCTACAACATCTTCCAATAAGTGAGAAACGACTATCTGCTCTACAACAGGCCACAGAATGTGACCAAGATCTCTGCCTCTTAAAGTCAGTGATCCGACGAGGATGGCCAGATAGCAAAGAACAATTGCCTAAGGCTATGCACATATATTTCCCATATCGAGAGGAAATGACTATACAGAATGGACTAGTGTTCAAAAACGACAGGGTCGTTGTACCACTGAGCCAGCGCCATGACACGATAGTGAGACTTCACTCGGGACATGTAGGACTACAGAGTACCTTACGACGTGCACGAGAAAGCGTCTATTGGCCAAACATGTTCAAGGATCTCGAAGAGTTTACAAATGCATGTGACACGTGCAACACATTTGGAAGTAAACAACACCGTGAACCAATGATCAGTCATGAGGTTCCAGCACGCCCATGGCAGAAATTGGGTTGTGATTTATTCGAGTTGAACCAGAAGAGTTATTTAATCACAGTTGATTACTACTCTGACTTCTTCGAAGTTGATCGTCTTACAACTAAGACAGGGAAAGATGTTATAAACAAGTTGAAAGCCCATATCGCGCGTCAAGGAATTCCTGATATTCTAGTGACAGATAACGGGCCACCTTTCAATAGCCGTGAGTTCGAGAACTTTACTGAGAAATATGACATAGAACATGTCACAAGCTCACCGGGATACCCACAATCAAATGGAAAATCTGAGAATGCTGTTAAAACAGCTAAGAGACTAATGGGGAAGTCGCTCCACGACTCCACAGACCCATACATAGCTCTCCTGGAGTGGAGAAACACTACTACCGAAGGGATAGGGTCATCTCCAGCTCAACGACTCCTTGGAAGACGAGCTAAAACTCTACTACCGATGTTGTCGAGGAAATTAGAGCCACAGATAGTGAAAAACACCAGAGAAAAACTCATGGAAAGAAAGGCAAAAGAAACTTTTCACTACGACAGAAAGTCTCGTAGAACAGATCTGAACAGTTTGAAACGAGGAGATACTGTACGGATCAGGCCATTACGGAATGGACAGACTAATGGATGGACAAAGGCAACGGTTGAAGGTCAGGTTGACATCAGGTCGTATAAGGTCCGCACGGAGGATGGAAGGAGTTACCGCAGGAACAGATTGGATTTGAAACCCACCAAAGAAAGGATGGTTGTCGAAAGAGACGACGTTGAAGTAACGCCAAGTGACGTAAGGCAAAACGACGTTGAAATTAACTATTCATCTTCAAACCATGTTGATACACCACCCGAGGTGTACACTCCAGTGTCTAGTCAGCTTGATGCGTCGTCAGTGTCTCAGCAGGCACTACTTTCTAAACAGAGGAGTCCGACGTCCGTTAATCAGGAACCAGCCGCAGTAACACCAGTGAAAATGACGACCCGGGGACGAAGTGTCCTGCCAAAACGGTTCAAGGATTACCAGATGTGAGGAACCTGTGCCAAGATGTCATTTAATGTGCCAATCCATTTATATTTACTAGTCATAGTTTGTAGTTTAGTTTGTTATAGTTAAAGTAAACCAGAATTGGACTTTATTATTATAGTTGAAGTGTTAGTCTATAGTTAGCATCTTGCCGACCAGAGACTGTGTTAACGATAACGTGTTTAATGTGGCACTATCGCGATTAGTTATACAAAGACTGTTAACATCTCGTGGAGTAGCTCAAAATATTTAGTTAAAGTTTTTTTTATCAGAGACTTGGTTAAAATTGTGTGAAACAATCTTCAAATTTGAAAAGGGGGATGTAACGATTGTAACGATATATAACGATAT